GAAAATATGATTTTCCCCTATGCTTGAGGATGAACGGCAATACACGCTTTTTCAGGCATGCTTCGATGTAAACTTGGGATGTCATCGTCGAGGATGTGACGTCCAGTCGCGATGTAAAACTTTTGATCGAGAAGCTGCTTAAATTCGAGTTTGACGTATGTTTCGTCATCGATCAAAGTGCAGTCCTTGTGTTTTGTTGTCTTTTTGGCCAGGGAATTATGCTTCATGTGCCGGTTCGGATGTTTACTGGCTTTGTACGACTTGTATCCTTCCCTGGCAAGGATATTCCACACCATTTGAAAGTTGGCGTTGTACCTTCTGGCCACATCTCGGATCGAAAGACCGGGGTTGGCTTAAACCCACCTCAACACCTTGCTGCGCAGCTGACGATCTCTGGTTCCAATTTTTTTCGTAGGTCCGCTGATTCCTTTCCACACTCAGGGTTTCCTGGTAGGTTTTGAGCACTCGACAAACGGTTCTTTTCGACATCTTCAGCACTTCAGCCAACTTGGAACCGAGTTCCATTTGACGTTATTTCTGAACGCGATCGACTACTTTGATCAAACTTGCACCAGTTGTCCACTATAGAAGTGTAAACAAACCACTGTCAAAGATTTTCGATTCCCAACACTAGAGGCGTGCTAGCGGCGCGCGAGGGGCGTACCAATTTACTTTTAGTCAACCTTTATACGAGATGGAATAAATGGTTTTCGATTTATGTAGCATAAAATAAAAAAAATTGTAAGTTAATTAGGTTGAGTGGAATCAATAAAAATTCCGCGTGAACTACTTTTCACGGCACAATAACACGGAATTTTTATTGCTTCCACTCAACCTAATTAACTTACAATTTTTAAACCTAATTTTACTGGTTGAGGTACTACGATCGAATGCTCCCGGAACTCAAACCCGATGGCAAGATCGAATGTCTTAGCTTGGGATACTCCCAGAGCTTCTTGGCCGGAATCATAATCTTCAGCAGTTGCGCTTGCCACATTCATAACTTGTGAATTGAGAATAATATGGATAGTTTTCTATGCCTGATTTTTTTTTTTTTTTGAAAAACGACTGGAAAATCAGGGAATATCAGGTAATTTGATTTACTTCATTGAGTCGACCCCCTGTTGAAGTGAAGTGAATTTTATTCGAGTTTCGCTAGGGTGGCCATCTTGTCCCATTTTCTCTACTCCTCGATAGCTTCTCCTCACAAAGGAGGACACTACAAGCAAAAGAACACCACTAGTCTATGAGATCCAAAGTACTTTCGAGCCAGGGATACCACAGATAACTAGATGGAGCATTTGCTAGACAACTTCCGCCTCGCGAGACTAGTGGTGTTCTTTTACTTGTAGTGTCCTCCTTTGTGAGGAGGAGCTATCGATAGGGTTACCATATGGTATCCTAAAGGAGGACATGTCCTCCTTTTTCAACAATTTTTCTACGTCCTCCTTTTGCCCGAAAATGTCCTCCTTTTTAATCCTTGCATTTTTTCGAATAACATATTCATAAATTTCTTTTCAAAGAGCGTTGCTTGCAGAGCTTATTTGTTTAATTATGTTGCAACTTCATATTATCTAGCAAATCCCATTTGATGGTGGGACTAGGAGTATACTACTGCTGCCAACCCCGCTACATTTAGGCTGCGGTCAAGGCTGCCGTCCATTTCGTAAATTTAACTTAAATTTGACAAATGGAAAATTTTCAAATAAGCCTGCTATTCTACCAGACTTATTTCAGACAAACCAGGAATCAATTTTGACAAACAATTTCGCGAAAATTGGACGATAAACAACAGAGGGATTTTCGAACATTATGTATTATTTTCGAAGAGTCAGTGAAAATTCATTAAATGGAACTCAACCTTAGGCTGTGTTCCCTTTTTCTGAATTTTTACTTAAATTTGACATTTCGAAAATAAATTATAATGTTCGAAAATCTCTCTGTTGATCGTGTGATTTTTGAGAAGAAATTTGTCAAAATTAATTCCTGGTCTGGCAGAAATAAGTCTGATACAATAACAGGTTTATTTCAAACATTTTATATCTGTCAAATTTAAGTTAAAAAATCACCAAATGAAAAACAGCCACACAGATTGAATCCAACATGCGTTCGATTTTGACGTTCTGGTTCTATGGGTATTTCAAGCAGAACTATACAAATCGACGTATCTTATTTTGTAAACAATCACTCCAATCGACGATTTGTGGCAACTGCAAGCTCACTCACAGAAACTAACAACACCAGCTAGTAGGGGAAAGATTTCTCTACCTGATGATGGTCTTTATTTGCGTGGGTGAGTTAGCAGTTAAGAAAAATCGTCGATTGAAGAGATTGTTTACAAAAGCGTTTTTCGTCGATTTGAATAGTTATGCTTGATTTGGCCGCTGCCATACTGAGAGCGAAGAGGCACGTGAAGCGTGAAGTCGAATGTAAGGAATGATATCAATAATAGGAATTACTTTGTATATAACGCTAAGCTATAGCTATAAGCTGTCTTGAAATGAGCACTCATACATTTGATTTTCGCTGGAAATCCTATGTATGAGTACTCATTGCAAGACAGCCTATATTACATTATATAATCCGTAGTCTGTACGGGGTATTAGAGTCCTATGCTGAATCAATGGTAAAATTAACAGGTTGCTCAGATGTTCCATGTTGGTTTCAATCAGCGATGACATGTATACTGATTTTTGTACATGATAAAAGTTGCAGTTTTCATGCAAATCAGCTGGACTAGATCATTTTCAAGTATCAAACATGAATTGTGAAGGCTAGTTTGATGCATTTTTCAGAAGTACAAAGAGAAGATTAATTGCATTGATAACGACCACAAGTTATGAACAATATCAATTGAACCTTCGCAAATCATGGATTTTGTGATAGCGCACATATTATTAAAACGTTTGATAAAAACTCATTGTCCTCCTTTAATGTTAAGAAAAGTAATCATTGTCCTCCTTAATCACCAAACCTCAAATGAAATGTCCTCCTTTTCAAGTTTTTGATATGGTAACCCTAGCTATCGAGGAGTAGAGAAAATGGGGCAATTGTTATTCACTCACTAGGTCACTTTCACCTTAAGTATGACAATTCCCTGTCAACAGTATACAGCTTATTATGTATCCTGCACACACCTAATGGTGTTGAGGCTCCGTCGCCATGAGCCCCTGGGTCTGCCTCTGCTGCGATGTTCTGCCGGGTTCCAATCCAGAATTCGTTTCCGCCCCTTCGTAGTGCGTGATTGACCCAATTCCACTTACGTTCTCGAATTTCTGTTGATATCGGTTTCTGACAGTATCCAAGGCAATAATTCTAGATCAACAATTGAAATAGGCGGAACAACCAAACGTAAACAATGGCTTTAAATGCAAATTCCTTGAGAATCAAAGCTTATTCAAGCAATCTAACACTATCTGATAGACTATACTCCCTTTATCGAATGGCATTGTTAGTTTGCGTGGGAGTGTTTTGATTCTCGAGAATTTTGTGTTTAAAGCCATTGTTTACGTTTGGTTGTTCTGCCTATTTCAATTGTTGGTCTAAAATTAACACAATGCACGCAGTAGAAAGTAGATTTTCCAAGTGGTATGTAGAGGATACATACTTATAAGTAGGGTGAGACCACTGATAGGGCAATAAACCTAAGTAACTACACATCCGGATACAGGACTATCGTAGTATCGTAGCGCTTCACTGTCAGACTAATATAGCGATTTCCAATGATTTATGAAGCATTTCCCTGTTCATTGCTTTCCTAGCAGCAATCGTTTAAAGTTGAATCGAATGAAGTGCTTTCTTTAACATTCTATTAAATCCTCTAGCAAATTTGGGTTCTGATTAGGATTAACCCATTTTCCCATAACATTCTTCCTTTTCCTGAGCAACAGATTTTCGCCACAAGAATTGCTCTGCCTGAATGTGAAAAAATATAAACGACGAACTTTCTACAAAGCACTACTCGGATTCTGCTGGTCCCTCTGTTTTCCTATGCAAATTTATGCAACACTCCGTTCCGCTGCCCTTCGGGTAATATGTTCCTACTCTCCGTCCTCCTCCATCCAGCAACTCACTAAAGTAAAAAAACAAAAAGGAAAACGTACACTCACAAATCACGAAATGCCCCCGTGTGTTAGCAGGGGACACTTTTTCCTACTCAGCTAGCAGGTGGTAGGGCCATTTGTGGTGCGATTTTCCCACCGTCGCCTCCGTCCCCATCCGGTATGGTCGTGAGACATTCATCACATCCCTGCAAAATTCATCCCCCCACACACACGGAAAGCCTCGGCCATCAGCCTTCTATTGGTGCGGGCGGAAAACCTGTTGCGCTTGCAGGCTATGTATATCATTACCGAATTAATGAAGCCATTCATCCTCCGGGATATGACGGGTGTTGCGTCTTCTCCCTCCTCCTTCTACTGGCTCGCATCGTAGCCGTTGGCGTGGGTCGGCGGGTTTAATGGGCTCTTCAAACTTTTAATCCCGTCCCTGATGCTTTGGAGTGGGATTTTGCGAAAGAGACAGATGGAATCCTGGAATGGATGGGTAACAAGCTCATCTCTGCTGTGCACGTGTCTCGGGTGGCCTGCCATTGAGCGAATTCAATTTCATCATATTAATTGCTATGTCAAGATTTTGTACTAAAAATAAACTACCTGAACGTCGTCTCGGTATTCAAATTCATCCTCGGAGAAAGCAAAAAAAAAAAAAGATTGATAAAAAGGAAGTGGAAATTACTGCCAGCTCCCGGATAAAATCGATAGCACTCTTACTGGAAACCAATTGGAAACCTTGAGAAAAAGGAAGCGGCCACAAAAGCAAACGGCAAAGTTCAATTCGTCAGAATGTTTGAAATAACTTTGTCATCACCCAATCAAACAATCTTTCTCGGAATTTATCAAAATTAATGGCATCTCCTTCAAATATGTACTTACCTAGTTTGAGTTCGGCTTTGCTTCAAGTAATAATAATAACCATTGTCGTAATTTGCCTACTTTCAGGGTATATTTGTGGAAAAGTACGATCCCACGATAGAGGACAGTTACCGCAAGCAGGTGGAAGTGGACGGACAGCAGTGTATGTTGGAAATTCTGGACACGGCAGGAACGGTAAGACTTTGTGACATTTCTAACCCGGGAAAACTAATCGTCTTTTCACATTCCAAACAGGAACAATTCACGGCCATGCGAGATTTGTACATGAAGAACGGCCAGGGTTTCGTGCTAGTGTACTCCATCACAGCACAATCGACATTCAACGACCTGCAGGACCTGAGGGAGCAGATTTTAAGGGTTAAGGTAACGAACCATTTAAAAAATATTGGCTTATGGAAAATGTGTCAAAACTTACCTTTCTTTCCCGGAACAGGACACTGACGACGTTCCGATGGTGTTGGTCGGCAACAAGTGCGATCTGGAGGACGAACGAGTGGTCGGTAAGGAGCTCGGCAAAAGCCTCGCCAACCAGTTCAACTGTGCATTCATGGAGACGTCAGCCAAAGCCAAAATTAATGTTAACGACGTGAGTATTGTAATGTGTGACGAGGTTGCTCGTTTTATTTTCGTTTGTAATTAGTATTGAAAATTTGGTACGGAAATGGTGATGAACTAGCCGTAGAAGAATCATTATAAGAAGAGTAAATTCTTTCTAAAAGCAGGCTTTCTTTCAGGGTTTCGACCAATTCGGAAAATCAGGGAATTTCCTTCAAATTCAGGGAAATATTTCTTTATAACCGAAACTTCTTAATAAGTATGACTGACTTTGCTAGTTTCAAACAACTGAATTACTCGGCGTAGTTTGAGGATAGTTTTTCATTTCAAATTTTAAATAGAGTTGTGAACTTGTGGTTGTTCAATGCTTGATGTTGCATTTTTGCAAATTGGGCAAAATGTTACTCAAATAAAACGGAAACTATCGATTTTAAATTGGCTCACTACTTGACTAGCCTATTACTCACTTAAGGGTCCTGTGCACCACCAGCGCAAAGGCAGCCCTAGCCTTCTTGATTCGTGCACCTATGTCGCTCTTGGTCCCGCCGTCCGACGCTATTTGGCTGCCAAGATATTGGAAACTTCCGACCTTCTCCACTGCTTGCCCCTCTACCAATTACTAGTTGGAAGGGTTGCCGGTGTTGATATCCAACGATTTGGTCTTGTTGACGTTGATGGTGAGACCCGCCGCAGAGGAGCGTTCGGCTAGGTCATTGAGCTTATTCTGCATATCAGAGCGCCGTTGTGCTAGTAAAGCAACATCATCAGCCAAATCGAAGTCGTTGAGATGCTCCATGGTGATAGGCTGCCAAAGCAGCCCACGGTTCGGTACACGGTTAATTGAACCTACCTTGATCTCGTCGATTACGATGAGAAACAGTAGCGTTGATAGTATACATCCATGTCTCACACCAGCGACTACCCGTATAGGGTCGGACAAGGCTCCGTTATGCAGAACTCTGCACGTGAAAGCCTCATACTGCGCTTCGATGAGGTTGACGATTTTATCCGGGACTCCCTTGCGTCTCAGGGCGCCCCACAGATTCTCGTGATTGAGACGGTCGAAAGCTTTTTCGTAGTCAATGAATATCAAATAAAGGGACTCTTGGAATTCATTGACCTGCTCCAAGATTATGCGGTCCACACAAGATCTTCCGGCACGGAATCCTGCCTGCTGCCGTCGGAGAATCGCGTCTCCTGTATCCGATTCAGGATAACTTTGCACAAAACTTTGAGAACAATACACAGTAACATGATGCCTCGCCAATTGTCGCACACAGTCAGATCCCCCTTCTTTGGGACCTTCACTAAGATGCCCTGCATTCAGTCGGCCGGAAACGTCGCGGTGTCCCAGATATTACAGAATAGTTGATGCAACATTTGTGCGGATAGCATGGAGTCAGCTTTGAGCATCTCTGCTGATTTGTTGGATTTCATGCTTCGGATAGCTGCTTCAATCTCCTGCAGCGATGGGGCCTCGGAATTGACGCGAGTGATGCGCCGCACTCTAGGCGGATCATGCCGAGATGTTGATGGCTGGTTGGTCGTCGAAACATGAAGAAGTTGTTCGAAGTGCTCAAACCAGCGTTTCAGCTGGTCAGTGGGGTCGGTAAGCAATTGTCCAGTCGTGTCCTTCACTGGCATCCTCGGGTTCATCCTTGCTCCACTCAGGCGTCGTGAGATATCGTAGAGGAGGCGTATATCGCCAGTGTTTGCGGCTTTCTCCCCTTCGTCGGCCAGGCCACGCTCGCTTGTCCCGTCTGCAAGAGCGCTTGACTTCCTTCTCTAGAGCCGAGTACCGTTGACGGGCTTCGTTCTTGGCTCCTCTGGTTCTCGCCCGCTCTATCGCGGCTTTTGCTTCTCTACGCTCCTCAATCTTCCGCCAGGTTTCATCTGTGATCCACTCTTTCCTCTGGGTGCGCAACTCACCCAAGTTGTTCTTGCTTGTTTCTATAAAGGCATTCTTGATGGCCGTCCATTATTGTTCTTCTACGCTGCCACCTTCTGGAACGTCCGCAGCTCTCCTCCCGTCGCTGGATCCGCGCCATGCGTAGGCGGATTTCACCGATTAGAAGGTGATGGTCAGACGCGATGTCGGCGCTGCGTTTATTCCGGACATCAAGAAGGCTCCGTCTCCATTTTCGGCTGATGCAGATGTGGTCGATCTGATTTTCGGTATGTCCATCACGGGAAACCCACATGAAGAGCGAGCCCCCGATCACCATGTCGTTATTGCCACAAAATTCTGCAAACAGCTCACCGTTCTCGCTCATTTCGCCGAAACCATGGCGTCCCATGACACGCTCATAGTCCGTGTTGTCGGAGCCGATCTTCGCATTGAAGTCGCCAGTGTAGATCTTGATGTCACCCTTTGGAACCTTATCCACGACGGCATTCAGTTGACTGTAAAAATTCTCCTTGTCCTGTAGCTCGGCAGCATCGGTTGGCGCATAACATTGGATTATGGTAAGGTTACGAGCCCGTGTTCTAAGTCTGGCAACGATTATCCTCTCATTAACAGGCTCCCACTTGATGAGCGCAGCACTTGCCTGGACGCTAAGTAGGAGACCAACTCCACGATGGCGGGGAGCGTTTTCACCTCGAATACCAGAGTATAGTATACCTGTCCTGACGGCAGTTTGTGTTCTCCAAAGTTTGGCCAACGAACTTCACTCAGTCCCAGGATTTCTAGCTCTATGCGTCGCGCCTCGTTGGCGAGTTGTGCCAGTTTACCTTGCTGGGCTAACGTCAATACATTCCATGATCCAATTCGTGTCCGTTGTTTTGCGCTAAAAGTCGTTGCCGTTAAATCAGTTCGATGTCTTTCTCTGTTGGTTTCTGTAACAATTGTAAAGGTTTCAGAGACAGTAGGTGGTTGGCCTAAGGTCTCCTATCCGCCGTGATGGGGCTGCCATCTTAGGTGTAGCTTCCGAGGAAGAGCATTTCTTATTCAGCCGCTGGATGCCAGTCAGACGCTGTTTGAGCTGCACCTCCATGGTGAACAGACGCTCGGGTTGGCGAAGCATTTCCTCTATCATAGATAGAGGAAATGACTAACCTATTGGTCCCAAGCAAATCGATTAACGTACCCCCGAAATTCTAGTACTACACTAAGTTTGTTTTGATTCGCTATGAAAGTTTGACAGATAAAATGAGGGGTTCGTGGATTTTTCTATGTTTCAAGGGGTACATCGATTAGCTTGGAACCGAAGATAGTACCAGAGCTGAGTCAAAAAGGGGCACGTTTCTTCGTCTTAGAGAGTTCGTTTTGGTTAGAATAACCAAGTTGCTTAGAGTCGTCATGTGGGAACCGTTGACCCCACCGAAACACCCTCTACCGCGAATCAAATTTTGGATATTGAGCAAGGCCTTATTGGATGACCATTGGGTTGAATCGAACAACCTGCGCCTTAGTGGATTACTCGGTATATTAAATAATGTCTTGTATAATTTGCTTTCAGAAAAAACAAATCACCTTCAATCTAGGTCATATGACAACTATCAAAATTAGCTACATGGGCTTACCCCAAGGGTCATGTTTAAGTCCCTTACTTCATAATTTCTATGTCAAAGACATTGATAACTGATTATTTAGATAATCGATGCTCGCTTAGACAGCTTGCAGACGATGCCGTGGTTTCCCTGAGAGGTCCACTTGGAGAAATCTTGCAAAGACCCTTGCAAAATTTCCTAGTTAATCTGTCCTTCAGGGCCAGAAATTTGGGGATCGAGTTTTCACCGCAAAAAAACTGAATTGGAAGCGTTTTTTTTTTTGGGAGGGGAGTAAAACCACTGCGTCCATTGTTTGAACTTTTGTGGTACCCCTATTTGCTGTTTGTATCATGCCACTATTTAACTAATGGACGGCTAATTGCCTGGACACATCTTTTCCCAGTCCGGTATAATATGGTCTATAAAACCAACTACCTTTCCAGGATTTGCAGCCCGTATTTCACTAGTACTAATAGCTAATACTTCCAAGAAATTTAGATCTACGCTTGTGTAATGCACCACAACTGCAGAGCAGATGTTCCGAGGTTTCACCAACCGGTCAGCACTCGTGTTTATTTCAGTTACCGTAATTTGTAATTTGTGATTAGCCTCGGTTATATTTGAAATGACGTTTCACATTCATCTAGTGATGGCCGATTTTCATTCGAATAATCGATTAATCTCGATAAAGGAATCAAAATTAAAATATTTGTAATCGGTTATATCATGCCGATATAAGCATTAACTTCTCCAGAGGATCATCACCCATCGTTTCAAGTATGTGATGCACTCTCATTGGTGGAAACATGACAGCGTAACGAACAAAAAAAAACTACAAGGGACAGCCCTATGGGGTTGTACGCAATGGTGACGTAGGACTACGTGGTCTTCTATGATAAATCAAATTTGTTAACTGCAGGAGCTTGTGTTTTGTGTAGGAATAGGAATTTGAGGTGTTTATACTCTTTAGTATGACGCGCTTGACATAGATGGCCCACAGCGACTCACGAAAAGCTACCGATTTCGATCAACAGCGGTGCGGCTTCTTCCTAATGTGGGCTGCACTTGCTCCTTGCCAGCAGCCTTTCGTCGTGTACTGGAGATCACCCCCACTCATCACGCGGTGATTGAATAAACACCTTTTGGTGAGACCGGACGGAATTCAACTTTGAAATCTGTGTTAGGAAAATCGCCTTTCGCAGGCAATCGGTGATAATTTTAATTTTCATAGCAACAGTTCCACATTCGTGCAATTTTCAATAGTGACATTTTGAAAAATGATATAGTCTTAAATTCGTAGATTCGTAAAAATATTTCTGATCGATTGGTGATAAATTTACTGAAATTGATCCAGATGCAGCTGATTTATTAACGTTCAAAATCTTTCATAATTTTGTTACATGTTCCACTTTCGGTTTTCACAAAGTGTACCCCCATATAGAAATCACAGACGTAGTCCTACGTCAAAAATTGTTAATCGAGTAATTTAAAAAACAATGGGACATCTCTGATTTTTGTGTTCTGATAAAAAAGCGCAAA